ATCTCTAGTGTTGTTTGGTTCCTTACTCCATAGTAATTATACTTTCAAGTCACTGTACAAGACATGTTAATATTTTGTGGTGTGGGTCAAGCAGTAGGTAGAACATGATTGTTTATTCCGTGTGAAACAGTCTTGCTATTCCACAGGATGTAACTGTGTAACAGAGTCAAGTTTCTTTTGATGCCATCCATATGGGGAACTCATAGTCTCTATTCTAAAAGAGTAGAACTCCGGGCCAGAACTCTAAAGTGTCATTAAAGCTTTATCTTTTTCTTCTGCCTTGAGGATGGGGGTTAATTAACATATTCACATGTATTATCTTTGACTAGTTGGCATTCCAAAATGTTTTCTTTATCTGAATTAGGAAATTAGCTGTGTTACCAATAATCTAGAATCTGTTTTAATTCTTAGTTATTGCTCACAAGTAAATGACTCTTTACCTTAACATTTTAGGTGCAGTTTTTGTAAATGGAAAAGAAATGACTAATCAGTTGCCCGCCGTTACTTCTGGGTCCACTGTCACATTTGACATTGAAGCTGTGACTCTAGGATCCACCAATAATAACGAAGGTGGAAACTTCAAGCTTCGAGTAACTATTAGCTCAAATAACAGAGAAGTGGTTTTTGATTGGTTACTCGATCAATCTTGTGGTTCTCTTTACTTTGGATGCTCATTTTTCTATCCTGGATGGAAAGTGTTGGTGTTCTAGATTTTTGGATAATTGGCTTTGGTTTGCAGGGTTTTAATGTAGCTATCCTCAGCCCAATTTAGTTGTAATTGTTAAATAAAAATTGTTAGATTCATCTCTCATGTTAGTCATTGGAAATGGAAATGTTTACTGGATTTATCTTGGAATATTTTAGCAATGAAACTTGAATATTGTGGACAAAACCATAATGCAGTCAATTTTATTTTTAGCAGTGTTAATTAAAATATCACATCACAATAAAAATCAAATTGGCTTTTAAAATATGAGGATACAGAAAGCCCTATGCCCTTCCACTGTACTTTTTTTTAAAGTTGGTTATTTGAACAGAAAAACTTAACATAATGTTTTATTAAATACTCATCTTTTAAGGATCCAAGGCCATATAAGACTTTAGTATACAACAGTAGACCAGATAGAAGCCAGAGTTTTGTAATACACATTCACTTGTGTGCTTTCCACATGAGTGTTGAATATGTTCTCCATATTCAGATATTTGTAAGCAGTATTGAATTTTATCTCATGTTCAGTAATCTTTAAGTACCAAAAGCATGGTAATTTTTGCATTTTAAAAAAATTACTGAGCAAATGTCTACAATAAGCAAAGCATTTTCTTTTGCTCTTGCAGTTTGATTCACGATAGAGGATTTTTACAGGGTAAAACTACTTATGGAAGTAGTATACGCAGCAGTATTAGCCATTTCACATGTATGGAATATGTACATGTGCATATCCAGCTGCAGTGATATGCATGTTACTATTCATATGGTATGAGCTGCAGTCCAGTTTAGTGTCAGTTTTATAAACGGTCTTTTAGTGGACCAAATATAAGGTAAATACTTGACCTACTTTTTTTTGAAACTTAAATTTGTGTAAAATATTTATTTGAAGGACTTACTTAGTATGTAAAAATGATTATCTTAACTTGCTATATATCAGCTACAGATTTTTTTGTCTTTTTTTTTTTTTTTCATTTTTAACAGTGGAAAAGTGGAAAAGCAAGTTTGATACTTTTGTAAGATAATTTATTTGGGAATTCAAACTCCCCGTTAGACAATCATGACCTTTTTCCCTTGCCTTTTTTATATATAAGTCGTCTTTCACTTGTTTAGTGGTAAGATATGCTAGAATGTAGATGCCTTGTCCAGCTGTCTGAAACCAAATAAAAAAACTAAAAGTTAAACGTGTGTATTTTTTTCTTCCGTGAAATTTGAGGAATCCAATTTTAATCTTTAGAGAGAGAAAAGGGTTTCTTCTGGCTCCAGTCTTTTTAATTCAGATATCATTGTAACTTGTGAAAAGTTACTTAGACTTGTATTCTGTGTATCTGATACCGAGTATAGTGGCCAACACATAACACATGCACAATAAATGTTTGACTGAATATAGATATTTTCTCCAGAATGGCTTCATCTCATTTCCTTCATTTAGTTAATATTTATTGAACATCTTTCTTACCCTTGAAAGGAGAATGGCATCTTAAATTTATACCTCTACAGTGTGCTTTTTCATAGACGTGACTTAAACCTAACTTAGTTGTAGACAGGAGTGGATTTTACTATTTTGAACTCTGAAACTAGATATTTTTTTTCTTGAACTAAGAACTGAGATTTTGGTAAAATCCAACTCATTCTGTTTGAACAGATAAAAAACAGTATTCCAAATGTGTTTGGAGGGACGAGAGTTTGATAGTAAGAATTGATATTTATTGAGCCCCTACTATGTACCAGGCACATTGCTAAATTTTCAAAATATATTCATTATCTTATTTAATCCATATATTGTACTAATAATACTGTTATTACTGCTTTTTCTACTTTATAGATGAGAAAATATAGGGTCAAAAAGATGTATACTAATTTGTTTAAGGTCATGACGAATAACTAGTCTGGTTAGGACTGTAGCCCAAATCTGTTTCACTCTGGAGCCAGAGCTCTTAACCATTATGCTCCTGAGAGGAGTGGACACTGAGGAGAAAGCCCCAGGTGTAGATAATAATCAAACATGGGATAAGTGGTAGAAATTGCAGAGTAGCACTGAGGAAGGACTGAATCTACCTGAAGATCTCAGTGAGCAAAGTGAATCTTAAAGATGAGTAGAAATTTGATAAGCTCAGAACTGACATTTGAAGCAGAAGAGAAGGAATTTGCAGTCATGATGGAGGTAAGAAGAGTGTGCATTAGGGCATCCTCGAATATCATGGTGGTGGTAGAAGTATATGAGAATGCAGTAAACGTCTAAGGAGTGCAGAGAAGTTGCATTTCTATTTTTTGAAACTGCCAAACTGATTTTCAGGGGGGCTGTACCGCTTTTACATTCTCTCTAGCAATGTATTGGGTCTTTCTCAGTATTGGTTGTCACTGTTTTTAATTTTAGCCTTTTTGATAAATGCGTGGTGATATTTCACTGTGGTTTTAATTTGCATTTCTCTAATGGCTAATGATATTAAACATCTTTTCATGTTTATTCGCCATCAATTAATCCTCTTCAGTGAATTTACTCATTTTCTAAGTGGATTGTTTATTGTTAAGCTTTAATAGTTCTTTATGTAGTCTAGATACTAGTGCATTGTTGGGTATGTGGTTTGGAAATATCTTGTCGGTAACTTTTATCCCATTACCAGGCTGCTTCCCAGAATAAAAGTTTTAATTTCGATGTTCAATATATTAATTTTAACTTTTATGGATTGGGCTTTTGGTGTCAAGTTTAAGTAGAACTCTGTTTAGCCCTAGATCCCAAAGATTTTTTTTTCCTGAAAGTTTTATAGTTTAATATTTTAAGTCTGTGATCCATTTTGATTTTTTTGTATAGAGGTTTGAGACTTAGGTTAAGGTTCATTTGGGAACATATCTGTTCATATCGATGTCCAGTTGCTTCAGCACCATTTGCAGCAAAGGCTATCTTTCCTCCATTGAATGGCTTTTGCACCTTTGTCAAAAATCAGCTGGATATATTTGTATAGGTCTAATTCTGGGTTCTCTGTTCTTTTTATGGGTCTGTCTCTTCTGGCATTACCACACAGTATGATTACTAAGATATATGTTTTAAATCAGACTGATTTCTCTTTCATCTTTTTCAAAATCATTTTAGCTATTCCAATTCCGTTGTCTTTCCATGTCGATTATAGCATAATCTTTTCCAAAAATCTTGCTGAGTTAATAGAAAATTGTGTTGAACCTGCATATCAATTTGGGAAGAGTTGACATCTTTACTATGTTGAGTTTCCAATCCATGAACACAGTAGTATGTCTCTCCTATTTAGACCTTTGATTTCATCAGCATTTTATAGTTTCCAGCATTCAAGGTCTGCATTTTTTGTTACATTGACACCTAAGTATTTTTAGTGATCATAAATGGTATTGTATTTTTAATTCTGGTTTCCACATGCTCATCTCTTATACAATCAATCTGTATATTTTGTATCCTGCCAAATTGATAAACTCAATCCCCCTACCTCCTTTGATATTTCTTCTTTGATCCAAGTATTTTCTAGAAATGTGTTTAGTTTCTGAGTGTATTTGGTGATTTTCCTGTTATCTGTTATTTCTAGTTTTATTATAGTCAAAGAATATACTCTGTATGAAATTGTTTCAAATTTGTGAGGTTTGTTTTATGTCCCAGGATATAAGCAATCTTGGTATATGTTCTGTGGTCACTTGAAAAGCTGTATTCTGCCATTAATGGGTGGAATGTTTTATAAATGTAAATGATCCTGTTGGTTGATGGTGTCGCAGTTTTATTATATCCTTATTTTGTCTAGTTGCCCTATTCTTGAGAGGGGAATGTTGAAGTCTCCAATTAGAATTGTAGATTTGTCTGTTCTTTTAGTTCTATCCGTTTTTGACTCAGCTTTTGCAGCTCTTATGAATACACATTTCAGGTTTCTGTATCTTAGTGAATTGACCATTTTATCATAATGTCCCTGTTTCTGGTAATTTTCTTGGCTCCAAAGTCTACTTTATCTGATATTAATATAGCCTCTCCTTCATTCCTGATTGTTTACATGATGTATATTTTTCTATCCTTTTTTAACTTGTCTATATCATTATATTTGGAGTTTCTTGTAGACATCATATAGTTGGGTCATGGTTTTGTTATCGTTTTGTTTAATTTACTGTCAGTTTTATTTGGTCTAATCTATTGATATATAATGTTGTTAATGATATGTTAGGGCTTAAGTCTACCATTTTTTGTTTCCCGTTCTTTGGTTTTCATTTGCTTTCCTTTTTCTGCATTCTTCTCTTTGTATAGTTTAGTAGTTCTAGATATTGCTATATATGTATATTCACATATATGTACATATACACATATACATATATACATTGTATATATTCATTTGTGTATTAAGTATATTACATGTTTTGTGTGTGTGTGTGTGTGTGTGTGTATACATATACATACATACATACATATAACTTATCCGTTGTATCTTTTTGGTGTATTGGTGTCATTTTAGCGTTCAAGTGAAATACAGAATCCCTACCTTTCTTTATTCTTCCCTCATTTACAACATAATCTTTCTTAAAATTTTTTCTACCACAGATTTAGAACCAAATCAGACAATAACTTTTGCTTCAACCATCAAATATTTTAGAAAACTTGAGGAAAGCCTGTATTTACCTACATTCTGCTTACCATGTTGTCTTCCTTCATCATGTTCCCAGATTCCTTCTTGTATCGTTTCCTTTTTTACCGAACTTCATTTAGCTAGTCTTTTAAAATGTCTGCTGGCAAAAAATTTAAATTTCTTTCATCTGAGAATGTCTTGATTTTCCTCTTCATTCTGAAGGATATTTTCACTCAGTATAGGATTCAGGGTATACAATTCTTTTCTTTCAGTACATGAAAAATATCATGCTACTTCCCATGGTTTCTGATGAAAAATCTATCATTATAATTGTTTTTCCTACTTGTAGGTAGTATCATTTTTCATTGCTTTCTCTTGCTATATATATTTAGTTTTCGGAAATTTAATGTTAATATAGCTTTGCATTGATTTTTTGGGGGTTAGCTTTTTTAATCTTTTGGATTGATGTCTCTTGCCCAACTTGGGAAGATTACAGTCATTGTCAAGTACTTTTTTCAGTCCTGCCCCTTTTCCATTCCTTCTGGGACTCTAATGACACAAATTTTATATCTTTTGTATAGTCCCACTGATTCCTGAGGTTTTGTTCATTTTCTTGTCTTTTCTGTGTTGTTCAGATTAGGTTGTTCTTACAGTTCACTAATTCTTTCCTCTGTCACCTCCATTCTACTGTTGGGTCCATTTACAGAGCTTTTCGTTATTTTGGTTATTGTATTTTCACTTCTAAAATGTCCATTTGGCTCTTCTTTAGATCTCTATTTCTCTGCTGAGACTCTGTATTTGCTGAGGCTATTCATTTTCTCATCTGTTTCAAGTGTGTTCATTATTGCTCACTGAAACATTTTTATCATGGTTGCTGTGATGGTTAGTCTTGTGTCTACTTGACTGGGCCAAAGGACAAAGGATGTCTAGGTGGGTAAACATTATTTCTGGGTGTGCCTGTGAGGGTGTTTCCGGAAGAGATTAGCATTTGAATTGACTAAAACAGATGGCCCTCCTCAATGTGGGTATCATCCAATCTGTTGAGGGCTGAATAAAGTAAAAAGTTGGAAGAAGGTTGAATTCATTCTCTGCCTGTTGAGCTTGGACATGGATCTTTTGGCCATCTACACTGCTGGTCCTAGGACCTTTAGATCTGGCCTGGAATCTACACCGTTGGCTCTCATCTCATCAAATTCCACCACTGGCTTTCCTGGGTTCCTGCCTTGCAGACAGATCATGGGACTTCTCAGGCTCCCTAATCTTATATTGGTTGTTTTTCTAGAGAAAACTAATACAGCTGTTTTAGAATCTTTATCAGATAATTTGCTATCTGTGTTGTCTTCATTCGAGATCTTCCTAGTGCTTCGTATGATGAATGGTTTTCTACTGAAATGTATTTTTGTCACGAGACTGGATTTTATTTAAACCTGTCAGCTGGCTTTTTGACATCACTCCAGCAGATTGAGAGGAGGGGCCTGCCTCATTATTGCCAAGTGGAAGTAGACTTGTAGCTCCCACTCAGCCTCCATTGACAGCCAAGAGCATACTCATTACTGTGGCATTGACACAGGAGTTCTGACTCCCTATAATCTCTACTGACACTGCGTTTGGAGTTG